ATGTATGTATGTATGTGTGTAGGTAGGTAGGTAGGTAGGTAGGTAGGTAGGTAGGTAGGTAGGTAGGCAGGCAGGCAGGCAGGCAGGCAGGCAGGCAGGCAGGTAGGTAGGTAGGTAGGTAGGTAGGTACTCTCTCACACACAGAGACACACACACACACATATATATATATACACACACACACACATACATGCAGATATTTACCTATGCAGGCATGACTAGCTTCCAACATGTGTGCATGTTTAGGCACCTACGGTTTTATGTTCCTACCACTGTGCCCACGCATGCCAGCGGTCTTCATGTATTTACTGAAAGACAGCAACTGAACAAGCGATCCGGTCGACAGACAAGTCGCTCAACAAGTAAGTTTACAAACTCATTTGCAGTACGCATATGCAGGTACTATGATTATGGCTAACCCGGCTTCTGCATCACTAAGGTTCATCAGCACGCAGAGTTACAGATGCACGCACATCCAAAACACGCATGCGCAGAGATTTATTAGTCAGTTTGTGTTCATAGCTATGGACGCATTCATGGCTATATGAATCCATGCATGCATTCCATGCCTTGTGCACCACAAACTACAAGATTTTGGAAATACCCACAAGGAACCTTGGTAATCTTACAGTAATCTTCTTCTGCATGTCCTGATCGTAGTTGACATGTTTCATGAAGTCTTGACTCGGCATGCTTCGGGACCTTGCAGCTGGCGTGACTCTGTGCTTGTGCCAGAAATCCCAAAACCTTAAACCCCTAAACCCCTAAACCTTAGACCCCTAAACCCTTAACCCTAAGCCTTAAACCCCTAAACCCTAAACCCCTAAACCTTAAACCCCTAGTCGCTAAGCCCTAAGCCTTAAGCCCCTAAGCCCAAAGCCCTAAACCTCAAACCCCTAAGCCCTAAGCCCTAAACCCTAAGCTCTAAGCCTTAAGCCCCTAAACCCTAAACCCCTAAACCTTAAGCCCCTAAACCCGAAGCCCTAAGCCGTAAGGCCCTAAACCCTAAACCCCTAAACCTTAAACCCCTAAACCCAAAACCTTAAGCCCCTAAGCCCTAAACCCCTAAACCTTAAGCCCCTAAACCCCTAAATCCTAAGCCTTAAGCCCCTAAACCCTAAACCCCTAAGCCTTAAGCCCCTAAACCCTAAGCCCTAAACCTTAATCCCCTAAACCCTACGTAAGCCCTAAACCTTAAACCCCTAAACCCTAAACCCCTAAACCCCTAAACCTTAAACCCCTCAACCCTAAACCTTAAGCCCCTAAACCCTAAACTCTTAAACCTTAAACCCCTAAACCCTAAACCCTAAGCCTTACGCCCCTAAACCCCTAAACCCTAAACCTTAAGCCCCTAAACCCCTAAACCCTAAACCTGAAGCCCCTAAACCCTAAACCCTAAACCTTAAACCCCTAAACCCTAAGCCCTAAACCTTAAGTCCCTAAACCCCTAAACCCTAAACCTTAAACCCCTAAACCCTAAACCTTAAGCCCTAAACCCCTAAGCCCTAAGCCTTAAGCCCCTAAACCTTACACCCCTAAACCTTAAGCCCCTAAACCCCTAAGCCCCAAGCCTTAAACCCCTAAGCCCTAAACCCCGAAGCTCGAATCCGAAGTTCCCAGAGATTCCAAGACCCCTGAATTAAGGAATATACCTTAAATTATAATAGGAACTCAATGGAATATACCTTAGAATATAATAGGAACACTAATATATGATTTAAGGCATATTCCTTAGTTCATATATTAGAGTTCCTATTATAATTTAAGGCATATTCCTTAATTCATATATTAGAGTTCCGATTATAATTTAAGGCATATTCCTTAATTTAAGGGGTTTGGGAGTCTCTGGTAAACTATAAACCCTAAACCCTAAACCCTAAACCCTAAACCCCTGATTTAAGGCATGTTCCTTAATTAAAGGGGTTTTGGAGCCTCTGGTTGAAGCAGAAAGCTGGCAGTTCGCAGGCTGTCCGAGTGCATGCGATCGTGGAGGAGATCCGTCGTTTGTTAGAGGGGCCTTTAACAGTTAGAGTAGGGATCAGGGTTTAGGGGTTAGGGTTTAGGGTTTAGGGTTTAGGGTTTACGGTTTGGGGTTGAGTATGTTATACTACGAATATAATAAGGAGCCCCCAAGACCCTATTCTAATTATGAAGGCCCCTACATTGCAGAATGCCACCGGCGCGGCAGCTACAATCCGGAGAGTGGGGGTTATTGCAATCCATCTGGTCATGTTTCACTAATTTTGACTATATTATAAGTTTCATCATTTGTGCTAGGCTATAATATGTTACATTGTACTGCAATCTATGGTGGAAAAGGCAGTAGTAGCCATAGTACAGTTTGTACCCCAAAACCCTGCTCTCATTGTTGAGGCCCCTATTTTGCATGCCCCCAAAGCACGAGACCTTCATGTCAGGAGCGAGTACAGCAGCAGCTGGACGCAATCCTTGCAGCGGAGATGGAGAAGGTAAGACCGTCTCGTTTTTTTTTTTTTTTTCCCGGGGTTTTGTAGGGGCTTTATAGGGTTTCTGTGGGGTGTTGAAGGGGTTTGCAAGGGTACAGAAATCCTGGTACAATTCTGTAGGACTTATAGGGCTTCTTGAAGGTATTTACAGGTTTTATGAAAACTTAGGCAGGTTTCTGCGATTGTTGCAAGGGCTTTGCAAGCGTTTTCTGAAAGTTTCCAAAGTTTTGCGACCCTGAGCCCTAAACCCCTAAACCTTAAACCCCTAAACCCTAAACCCCTAAACCCTAAACCCTAAACCCTAAACCCTAAACCCTAAACCCTAAACCCTGGTGTGCCAGGTGCGGGTGCTGGTGGAGGAGCGAGTACAAGGTCGAGTGCACCAGGCGAACGAGTGATTTCTGCCCTCGGCTTATAGGGTTTAGGGTTTAGGGTTTAGGGGTTCGGGTTTAGGGTTTAGGGGTTTAGGGTTATAGGGTTAAGGGTTTCGGGACCATAGCGTTTAGGGTTGAAGGAGCATATAAGTCTAGAATTTAAGCTTTGGGGCTCATTGCGCTTAGCTGTCCTCTTCTGATGACTTGTGCCATGCACTGAAAGCAATGAAGATACGGAGGTTTGTTTCTGCTCTCTGGGCTTCGAAAAGCCTTTCTTTAAATCACTATCAATACTACACCTTGGGGCTCCGTAATGTGATTTTACTATGAGGGAGCCCGAAACCCTATTCTAACTAATGAGGCCCCCAGAGTATCCTGTGTACTGGATTTGACGGGCCCGCCGAGAAGGGGGTGGGGGGGGGGGGGGGGGG